CGAAACTTTACCCGAAAATAAGCTACCCCATGATTTTTGTGTCACTTTTTTGGCCAAAAAAGGTAGCTTATTTTCGGCAATATACAGTATTGTTTGCAAAGAAGTTTGTATAATAAAAGAACTGTTTTTTAAAGATATCTTGGCTTCTACCAGGCCAATTTTGATACTTTAACCACCATTAGAACCGCAAAAATGAGCTTTACAACTTTTAATTAATTGACAAGATTGATTACCTTAGTATAAAAAAAGTTTACCTTGGACGATTGCCACATTCGCACTATAATAACTTTATATATTAATTTGAGTCATATTTTACTAAGATCACGCTACTATTGAGTGGCAAATCATCTATTAAGTATACTTTAGAATTATACTCTTAGTATCGATTAATATACTTAAGCAAGAAAATAATTATAGTTCTTTTCTTTAAGCTAAAGTTTTGGTATATTCCAAGCTTCAATACATCATTAAGATTCTTAATAATTGTCATATAGATCTACTGCAATGATTAGTAGTTTAATATAATCTTACATCACAGGCTTAATTTACTATTATGGTGTTTACATCATGAGGTTATTATGTCATAAAGATCAATTTAATTAATTGATCAATTGTTATACTAATTAATGATAACAATGCATCATAGTAATATAAGTATATGCTTAAAGGTTTCAATTCTTTTTTTACTTTCTCTAATAAATCAAGAAAGCTAAAGGTATTCTTATTAAACAGGGAACTCATGGCCACCAACACTTTTACTCAAATTTCAAAAATCAAGTTTAATTGGGACTATAATGAATTACAAAGTTTATTAATAATTCTGGAACAGAAAGAAAGAGTTTTTAGAACATTTTTAGTATGAACAAGAGAAAAGATAAGTAACTTCTACTATTAGGGCTTCGAAGTTATTGTGTTTTTGAGTTTTAAAAACTCTGTAGAGTTGTTCTTTTATTGAAAGAAAAAGTGCTCCTTATATAATTGTCTTTACATATAGAAGAATTCTTTGAATGCTAAGTTATTTGTGCTATCTAATAGATAATGAGAATAAAAACTTATTTTCATTATCTAGTAAAATTCCTAATATCTATTAGATAACCAAAATTCTCAACGATTTGTACCACCTATACCAATAATTCAGGATTTCACAGACTATAATCTAAAAATAGAATTAGTAGAGTTCATTTCACCTCTCACAGCATGCATTTAAAGGGTGTGCACTTATAGAGGTCAGACTGTAGAGAATGAGCATATAATTCCATCTGTGTCTCTATCTGTTAACTTGTCGAATAGAAAGATGATATTTCTTACATTTACCCCAAAATGGTTTCAAATCATTGTATATAAGAAAAAATATTTCTAGATAGTATAATACAATATGTTTCCATAATATCTATCCTGCAGTATTGTACAAAATTCAGTTAACAAATAAAGTGGGATAGAGCTGTTTATCCAGTGCTAAAAAAAAATAAAATCTGTTTTAGTAGTTCTGGTATAATAAAAATTCTTGAATACCCTAACTAATGTACCAAAATTTCTCTCTACCGGGCTTATAAACTGAATTACTGGACTTAGAGGTCCAGTGGATCATTTTTAAGTTGTTCCCACCACTGTAAAAAATTACATTATTGTTCCTGCCTAAAAAATAATTGATACTGGAAATTTTGATACATTTATGCCATTTGCGTAACTAATAATGTAAGATTTCAAGATAGATATTTGATAAATTATATGACTAAAATTGTACAATTGATTGTTTTTATAATTATGGGTAATAAATAGGATTTTATTCATAAAAAAATTTATTTAAAGTTAATCAGGCAAATAACCTATCTCAAACTCTAAAATTATATTATATCTATATATAATGCAACTACTAGTATCAAAAGCTATAGTTAAAATTAGGTTGTATTACATTATAAATTTTCAATTTATTTTCATTATATGAACAAATGCTAAACCCATTTCGATTTGCAATAATGGTTTATACTAACTATTTAAGCTAATTGAGCAAATCCAACTTGACGATTGCCTTGATCAAAAATGGTGTATATGTTCCTTAAGAAGGCAGTGCCAATATGCCATAATGTGTCATCTCCTGAGAGATTTTGAAAAAAAGAATACCTTTTAAATATTTTGACTAAAAATACATTAAACAAACAATAGTATAATTACTAGTATCGGCGTAAATAACAGCTCCAATGCAATCATCTTCATCGATTTCAACTGTAAAATCTCTAGAATCTATACTCCAAGTCTTACCGCTAAATACCAGACTAACTTCATGTTGTTCATCACAAGGTAGTGCGTAGGTCCAATCACCATTGTCTATAGCAGTGGGAATTGCATCATATAACGCTTCAGCATCAGCTTGTGGCAAAATTATTCGTGTGGTTCCAGTATCAATAATTCCAGTATGATCTTGAAGATTTAATTCGTCGCCATTGACAACGTAGTTATCAATAGGGATCTCCAATACACCGCCATTATTATCTACTACATGTGTAAAGGTAAGTGTATCACCATGGTATCTATCTAGATTACTCCCATCGATTGTTAATTCGCTTGGTGATTGATCTGCATCTCTCCAAAGCATAAAAGAGAATTGTGGATTATTGAGCTGATTATTATTTATAAGGTTCGTGATTAGTGTGGTTTGTTCATTATCACTTGCATCGCTAAATGCCATCCCCATATGGATGTTCAAAATTATCAGAAACTTCAGTAACCACTCCAAACTCTTGTTGCTCTAACGAAATACCCGCTAATACAATAGTGGTCTTGGCTGAATCCCCGCTTACATCTGTGCCATCAGCGTATTCGACTGAGAAATTTTTACCATCGATTGGACTGAAAGCTGTATCAAGACTTGAATCATATTTAGGGTTATCATTTTGGCATGATTCTGAATTACAATCTTTACTCAAAACAAATAAATCGCCTAATCCTGTATCAAATTGTATATCAAAATTCTGTGGGGTGCCTGTGCCGAAGGTAATTTGTCCATAATAAGCAACATCTAGTTGTTCTTCGCTTACTGGCATGGATCCTATTGCTCATCTGGAAAGTCTGCGACGAGTAATTGATTTTGGCTTTAACGGAATTGTACGCACATTAGGTTTGTCATGGGTAATGCATCAACAGACAGAAAAATTGCTATTGCGAATGTAAATATATGTAAAATGCACATGATAAATTAAGTGTTGTATTGAGAAAGTTATCTTATGTGAGTGATTTTATTTACAAAGAAATTGGATTCTGGCTTCATTTTTATATCTTTTGAGAATGCTGATTGAATAAGGTTTCTCGATGTTAAAAAAATTGATTACGGCTAATCTCGAGAAGAATATGATCATCAAATCTGATGCGTAATTATTTTACTCAAATTAGTGATGATCCTAAAAAGAAAATTATGCATAAATTATGAAATTTTTGTTAATCTAAATAATGGTTTGTATAATATATATTTATTATAGAAATTGGAAAAACCAGGTTCTCCAATTAATTTACCGATATTATGCGTCCGATCAGAAATAAAATTTTTATTTAGTCACAAAGTAGTTCTATTAGAATTTCTTGTCAACCAATATCGATTATTGAGTACCACTCTCATTACGAATATCTATCCTATAAATACTTTTATTTGTTTGGTAATTATTTAAGTATTCGATAACTTTAGGCAAGTGTCTAACCCATGTTCTTATTAATCTATATTGATTCTAATTTTTTTTATTTTATTTTTGGTAATTGATTTTCTTTGAGTTAGCTATTTTTGGGGAATGACTAAAGCGGAGTCGAGCTAATCTGGGATCAACAAATTTTTATAATTTGATTGGCATTTGATCACATGATTTACCGCTTTAGACGGCATGTCTCAAATCTTTGCCAATTACCGAATCGAAAAAGCATTAAGCACAGATTTTAATTTACTTCATATTTGATATTTAGGTATGCTCATATAACTAAAATTTCGTGCTGAAAACTTTTGTTTAGAAGTCAAGCTACAGTTATCATAGTAAAATCTTGAAATATTTATGATTTTACTATGATAACCGTAGTTTGACTTCTAAACAAAAGTTTTCAGCATGAAATTTTAGTTATATGAGTATACCTAAATATCAAACATAAAGTCTGCGCTTAATGCTTTTTTGATTCGGTGATCGTCATAACCTTTGAGACGTGTAATTTTAGGTTTCACAAATTTCAACAAATTGTATATACTACTAGTACGTACTGCACAAAAAATGCGTGGCAGATCCTCAATTTTGATTGGCTAAGAGCAACGATCAAAAAATTAGGTTGGAATTACTCATAATTTTGCTAATGAAATCACAGCCGTGCACTAAGTAAAAATTGTTTCTGGCCAATATTGACATAATGCGGGCTAATTTTTGCTAGTCAATTAGCAATGTGAACAAAGTCACTTGCTTTTAACTTTAATGTCGATCAATTGATTTCAAACCCTAAATCGGGTTAAGTGAAATTAATCAGTCATATTATTGTTGTTGTGTATAATGGTCCCAATTTGGGTTGAAATGAAATAATTATCTGAGAAATCATTCAATAGGGTGATTCAGAACTAAGGTTCTGGTTTCTGATTTCGAATTAAGCTAGTGATGTATTTATTTTGAAATTAGTATTCATAAACCTTATTTATTTTGATTTACATGCTAATTTATATAATAACAACTAGCAATGTGTTGTACGGGCAACTTCGTCACCCGGTTGTAGCTTTGAGTGAATAGAAGATTTAGTATATAGCATATTTAGTACAAATATACATTAAGAAAGTTGTAATTAATAAGGTAATATTAAAATAATTTAATATTGTTAATGGTTTATATTGAGGGATTGAAAGAGCTGTAAGGATAATTGGTTTAGGTTTCAAGGCTTTTGAGTCTT